CTGCAGGCGATACCCCGAATAGGAATAAATGCAAATGAAGCACCTGGTTGGCGGTCTTGTTACCCTTTGCAACGTCGTACGTCGGTTACGTACGACGGACTGGGGGTGGTGCTCGCGGAAACGGCAAATCTGCACTCCTTGGCACAACTCGCTAACGGTCGTGCGTACAACCCGCAGTGGATTAGTTAGCGGAAAGCCGCGGCAGTATTTCGCCTAGGGATTTGCGCTCGGTCGCAATTAAATTACGCGACCTATCGACGGATAACGACGGCACAAAGAAATCGATTCTGCTAAGACGGGATTCAATTAACTCTGGATACCACCCTGACGCGTCTGAGCACAAAGTTTCGAAATTTCTATCATAAACCATTACTAAACAAGTGAAAATGTTTCAATTTCAATGTCTATAAAAGAATAAAAAAATTGCTCTTTGCTTACCGAACAACCACCCGTAAGTTTCACTCGGGAGAAATTAAGTTCGTCGTATAGAACCAGAATGGTGGTTTCTCTGCTCGTAAACGAAACCGAAACCTTCGCGTATCGTCGGTATCGCCCTTAATAGTCGCGTGACTCAGCCTGTCGGCCCCGGGCGTCGAAATTGACAGAAATTCCAGCGCGATCTTGTCAGTGAGAAATCTAGATTGCCTTTCGTACTATACATTACAACTCGATAGTCCGAATGTACGGGTGGTTTGCGTTAGTCCGTATCCTATTGGACAGCACGGCGGTGGCGGACGCAGTTTCCTTGTTCAGAAACTGAGCTGACGGCGTGCAATGTCCGATCCAATCTGCGCGTGTATGGTCCACGGGTAACGGATGCCAGCCTGGTCTGACCGCTTTAGTGTAGGTAGCATCGTCGTTACCCGCGATCTACATGCACGCGTAGGCGGGCGCAAAGCCCAGTGTAACTATACGCGAGTGGATACAACCGACCGAGAACGTTGTGTCCAGTGGTGGAGAACGGTGCCCGGAAGCCTCGCCAAAGGCGACAAGGGATGTACTCTGGCTAAATTGCGGCTGTTGCTTACGGGATATCTCATTTTTACTTAGCCCGAGTTGATATTTGTCGGGCCACTTCATTTCCGTTTCTGTCTCCACCGACACGCTTCAAGGTATTTTCGAGTGTAAGATTCTGTTTACATCCCATTACGGAAGGTTTCAGGCATATTCTAAAACTAGCAATAAAGTATTAATAAATATCTTCAGAAACAGGCATTATGCATTGTTACGACGCGTGGCAAAATGAAATAAAAAGGCGAGAGAAATTGTGTATCAATGTTTTATAGGGGTCGTTGTAAAGTGTAAACCTATATCTTCGAATTCATGGCGATTTCAGTGTACGTGGTATAGCACGGTTATGAACGACTCCAGGGTGAATTTATTGTTCTGTTTCTTACTAGTTCGTTTCAAAATTTCTTCCACCGTCAACAATACTCGAGCGTCATATTTTCCTTTCAAGACGTACTATAAGCTTCAGAGAAAGTACCAGGAAGTCGTATTGAAGTTGTAAAGATTACGTTTAAGGCTATGTACAGAAGTCTATGTCTACGAAGTGCCTCATTGTTGCGACGGCTTTGAAGCAGACCTATTGTTCCGTTCCTAGGTTCTTATTGGAAAATTCAAATATCCGTTAAACAAGTTATCAAAAAACAACTATATTCACTCTGTATAATTTTCTTCTCTTTGTTCGATCGTTTACTTTTCCTCGTAAGGTCGTTTGCGACTCACGCAATATTGGTAATGCGATTCGCCCTGCTTTTTGGATTTACGAATAACAGGGAGAACTACGAATAGGATCGATATTTCACGTGTAACGTGTAAAGGGTCGCACTCGTTGGTAGGTAATAAAGCACGAAGCGAGTCGAACGTTGCAGCGTTTGGTAAATCGAGGTCACATCTTTGGAGAAAGATGCTCTTTCTATTTCAATTTGCGTAATAATCGCGTTTTCTTATCTCGAAACGCAAGATTTAAATTTGAAGCACAATCGGGGACACTTGAAAAAGCAACGTTTGTTTCTGTCTCTCCTTGGTAAAATCAATGTACGTCGCACGGCATTTTGTTAATTCATACGTGAAAGTTAACGGTAAAGATAATTATGTTGTAAACTAAGCTAGCTACGGTTTGGAAACTACTAACTCGAAGGTGGTTTCGTCAGGTGATATAATTTCGAAGTAATAGGAATCTCGGTACGGTGAAGGCTCACTGCTGAATCTGAGCTAGCAATAGGAATAGTTCGTCGTAACGGTATGAGCTTTTGTTGGATGGCGTGAACTGTGAGCTAAACGTTCCTAACTCCTGTTACTAGCAACTAGTAATTAAGCGAGGCGGTGCTGTGTGAAACGACCTATCCTCTGTTCCTCCCACCTTTCAACCCTCCCAAGGGTAAGAGAGTAAACCGTTCGTGTCCATGAATTTCGCGCTTGTTAAGTAAACATGCTCATCGACAACTTTTTCTCCCCCTCTGAAAAGTTTTATCGAAACAATCGGGGGCAAGTACCTTCTAGGGGTCGGTTAACTGGTTCGTATGGGTTACTGACTCTTAATATCATGGTTAAACGTGCAATGTCACGGTTATATCGTGTAATTGTTGCTCGTTCTTATTTACCCTACCGTGAATTGTAACATTAATATCGTCGGAACTTCAGTTTACTCGGTTTGGCAATGTCCGAGTCAATACGGGCAACGTACTGAAAATAATTACGAGTAAAACAACAAGAGGAATATAGAATGTCGAGCAGACATATTTTTGCCCGTCTTTAGATAATCAAAAAGTGAAATTAAGATGAAGTTGTGTTTCTTAGGTCAACGGTTGGTAATACCGAAACATATACATATATACATATATAGTTTCATTCGTATTTACGTCTTGAAAATTGAGGCAGGTCGGTAACGCTAAAGATTCGACGAAACTGTCTCAATGTTTTCGTTTCAAGAACGTGCTCGGGCATAGAGAAGTAAGATTATTACGGTTCTTGAGGTTTACATTGTACGAAATGTTTACCAACCATTCTTTCCTGCCGTTCGGAATGGATGCTAGCTTGAATATTCCGGTGCCTCGTTTAATTTAACGCGAAAACGCACGCGGAATAGAGATATCAGAAATTTGGCCGCTACCCCGGCGGAGTTTCTACATTCGAATAGATTCAAACGTAAATTGTAATATAATCCATGAGATATAATGCCGCTTTCCGCTGGCTCCGGTATTAATAACGCCTTAATTGGAAATTAGACCATGACACAGGTGTTCAACCTTATTTTCCGCGAGTAAAGGTTATACTATGTACGACACTGGTGTAATTCTCGCAACTAATAACCGTACTTGCAACACGGAGTGACAAAAGAAACGTTCGTTTATTAATATCCAGTATAGTAATTGGACTGCAGATGTTCGTGCAAATATTTATTTTTATGGGGAATCGATAACGAAATGAAAAAGATTATAGTATAATATTTTAGTAAATACCGAAACGAGAAACTAAATACCGTTACTGGAGTAAATTTAAACACGCTCCAATCAAGTCATACTGCGTCGAACGTTCATTTTCCGCAAATAATTTAATTTTTACCGATAAGCGTCATTGATCGACTGCAGCTAACATAGAATAAATTATTACAATTTATTATAACTTAAATTACAATTATAACGTAGCAAACAACCAAGGTTTCATTATTATTGCATATTTTCAATATAATTTTCGTGTATCACGTACTTCATTTGCATATTTCAACATATTTTAGGTACATAAATATCCGCAGTTTAGTAATAATACACTTTTTTCGAAAAGTACAGAGCCACGTAACGTCGTGTAAAATAAAAAATGATTGAGACCCGTCGACCTCCGGCCTGATAAAGCGTAATTTGCAACAAAGTATATTCGTGACTTTATTGTATGCATGTACGTACTTGAATATCTGCAGGTGAGCCTTATTCCGTCAAAGAAATGATTTAAAGCACATTGATTAAAAGCTTATATAAATCGTCTTCTCTAATTTAAATCAGCTTTCCGGATTCTAATCGCCACGAACGCTGTTCTGAATAACAAATTTATAGTGACCAATTTAAATAACTGCAAGCTGGAATATCTAAATCCTGGATTTCAAATGTATCAAACCACCATCATACGAATTCGTTAGCAATAGAACGCACTCTGAAATCACGTTAGTATAATTGTTTTGTCGTACCACCGTCAAAAATATTATCGCAACGATATAATTCGTAACAAATAATGATATCTACGTTTAATAATTCTACGTAATTCTACGTTTCTAATAATGACTTTTACGTTTAACCGAACATTGCGAGACAGTGATAGGTATAGCCAGTGTTAAAAATAGCTACGTTCACTATTCCCTTGTATCGGTACAATATCGAGTGGTATAACTTTCATTCGAACGTACGTACGTGTATTTTGCTTCAGACAAGTTTGCAAGCAGTTGACCCTGTAGGATTTCAGACTATAGACTATTCGCACCTAAATTGAAGTTACCAGTACATTAGCGTAATCTAGTTTACTTTTGAAAATACGCTTTATACGTTTCAGAATTATTGATCGGTTTTGTACGTCTGATACATAAATACGCCCTGATTATTTTGACTCGATCCGTTCCTATCCTCTCGTAACTTGAGAAGCAAATGCCTCTCGAGGAAAAATTTGTTTCCCGAGTCTGCGTTCGCATCTCAAGTTTGAACATTTAACCCGGGAACACCCTGTATACCGTAGGACGTTCCACGAAGCTCCAGTTTTGCACGTTCGTCATGTCGACCTCGTGAAAGACGCGAACCCAAAAAGAGCCTCGAAAGTTTCGCGTGCATGGTACAACAGCCTGGTTGCGATTAGAAGCTTCAGGTGTAGTGGGGCATGGAAGGATAGGGGTGGTACGGTTAGGGGGGTGGGTCCCCTGCGGTGAAGCGGTGGCGGTTGGTTCGCCGAACGACCACCGTTGGGGCGCTGCAGCCCGTTAGGACGTCAGTTCGCTATCGCGTCGCGACACGGTCGGATCTTGGTTCGTAACCGTCACGTACACACACGTACGCGTATACAGGCGCACATTGTACTCGACACAGGATATTTTTCGTCGGTGATCAGACGGTTATTTATCCGCGACGAGTAAGTTGTCGTCGTTACGGTGATCTATCGTGGGATGACATTGATCGCGAGAGCAGCGTTTACGAGCGCGCGAGAAGAAATCGGCGAAAGATTATCGTTCGATATATGATTCGCGGATGACAAGGGATCGCAAGGATTCGTCCGCGAGTGCGTGTCACGCGTAGTGCATCGTCGATCGATCGAACGGCACCGATCTCGAGATCGGTGGTGAACTCGCGTACTACGTGCAATTCGAGAAACATTGGAGCGACGCGGATGTTCGGTTATCGAAACGACATTGTTATCGTATCTAGGAAGAAATGAGTGGTTTGTTCGGTGATTCCTTGGTGAACAGTTGTTGATAAATACTGTGGGAGATAGTGCGCGAGACGGTTCTTGGAAGACAGTTTCCGGAAGCTACGTTCGGACAGGCTTTTTCTCTCTCGAATGTTTTTGCCCCGTCCACCGCGGTCGGGGGGGCACTGTTGACGGCGCGATCGAGAATCGAAAGCGCGTCGCGTACTCGTTTACAACGTAACCGGGAACCGACTCGATTTTGCTATGCTCGCGCACGGACGTCGAATATGCGAGATACGCGTGCCGAGTTAATCGACGCACGTACGCGTAATCGTCGCGAGTCGCTATCAAGGGGGTTTCAATTAAATCTCCCGCGAGGAAGGTCAAGTGCGCCGTGCGAACGACATCCAGTTTTCAGTTTTAATTAAAACACCCCCGAGGACAACCATTATTGCGCTTGTGTTTGAAATTAATTAGCGACGGCAGAGGCAACGACCGCGACAGGTGAACAACGAAGACCACGAAACGCGGACCGAGGTGGCCAGAAGGTGAAATCGAAGAAAGAACGTCGTCGAACGTCGACGTGACTGTACGACCGACGGGGGAGTGTTGTTTCGCGTACGAAAAAGTTCGATATATCGATCGCTGGGAAATCGTTACGAAATCAAGAGCAAAGAGAGAAAGAGATAGAAGAGAGAGAAAGAAAAACAGCATTGCAATCGGTATGCCTCGTGTGATCGAATTCGCGTGTGTGGCAAGTTAACGAGAGAGCTCGATCAGATTTTCCATTAAATGGTCGTTCGCGGGTGACAAATTGTGTCGTTGCGTGCGGAAGTGGCACGTAAGTCGTAGAAAAGGATAGGCGAGAGAAAAAGTGGCCAGCTGGAAAAAAAGTTAGCAGCTTTCCAGTCGTCCTAACATCCACAACCGCCACGTCGGAGTGATGAAAGCGGCGTAGCAACGGCAAATAGGTAAGACGAACTATCGCGTCTTTCTTTTCGACGTGGCTCGATGCCAGACGATCGATGGGGGGACATTCATTGCCAATTTCTTTTTCACTTCGATTGCAACGGTACATCAAACTTGATCGCGCTACTCGACGTCGTTCCCTCTCGCGGCCGATGCTCCAATTTCGAAATGAAAGAAATGTTCCGTCCTCAGACGGCGTAACTTATAGACGTCCAAGATGAAAGGTTAAGTGTTGAGACATCTGTTTACCGGATCTTAGTACTTTCGCTTTCGTATATTACTACGTCACTGCCTTGAAATTCGCATCGGTATACGAGCTTTAGTATGACACAGGTTATTACGGAAGATCGATTTGTATCGTAACGAAGAGTTGGACCAATTAATCGTTTCGTTCGATTTAGAACAAAATGGCGGAGGAGTGACGCGTATAAATATTTTTAAAACAATAGAACAACAAATATATTATATTGTAATTTTTATTTAAGAGAAATCGGTATAAACAGCAATAAGTGAAATATCGGCTGTTACGAATGAGATCGATTACCACCGTAGTGATAGGTTCTACAAATAAATCATCGGTTCTCGTTCTTTTTTTTTCACGGAAATATCGTTTCTCCTTTGTAGATCGAAGTACTATAAAATATACGGGGCGTAGTTCACCCTTTTTTAATGGATTTTTGTTTAACTTTCGATTATATTTACTTATTGCAATCGAGCATTCTGAAATGAGTTTCATTTAGCGCGTTATAAAGTAATCGTAAATGATTTTTTTTAAATAGAAAGGAAATTACTACTTTTATTGTTGACTCTCCAACAACGCGGGTTGTAGAATATAACCGAGGGCTTCCTTTTTCTGGTACGAGAATCGGAATATTTGTTGGTGTTTGTCTTAATATCTTCTGCGTCGTGGAGCACAGACAACAATATAACAACCCTATTTTTGCTAGAGACATAAAACGTGAGAGGTTTGTCCTTTTGAAAGCTTAATACGGATGACCCAACCACTTTTTCTTCATGGGATAGGAATTCTGTTGGGATTTCTCTCTTGTTCTTCCGGAGGATTCCAATCAAGGTTATATTCTTTTGCAGGAAATTCAGCTAGAGGAATGCTGACATAATAGTCGTCGGTAGTAATGTTTTTATCCATATCTTCAATTAGGGAAATTAGCTTTCTTACGATGTTATTCGGAGCATTAGCATTTATATATGGTCTCTCCGATTGTTTGCCGCGGTGAATTTCGTCGTTTGATGTGTAAAACGTTTTAGCTTTACGTAATCCATACATTTTTATCCTGTACTTAGCGGATTTGTTGGGAATGCATATACTGAATTAATTGGCAATAGTATTTGAAAAGACGCAGTGTCTCTTCGATGGTAATAAATTCGCCCAAGAAACGGACTTTAAAAAATCATATAATTGTGAATAAAACCGTGTAAACATCCTGTATACATAATTATTAGTAAACTGTAAGAAAAATGCTGAAGAATAAATGATTTGGCAGCGTGTTTGAAGGGAGTATAAGTTTGCAAATTACGCATATCAAAGGGAAGGAAGTTGTAGTATGATACGTATATCTATAGGAGACGGAGACTCGAAACTTTCATGTATGGTGAATTGGGTCGGATAGATGTAGTTGAGAACGAGTGGAGGGTTGTCAGCGGTATTGTATGAGAGGGCTGCGAGACTCGAATTATATAAACGGGGTGGTAAACAAGTGGATAATATTTGGTAGACAAAATTCTGTTCCTTTTAGAAAAAATGTTTGTAAAAAGAATTTGCATCGGTATATACGGTTTATCGAATAGGGAAAAGGTTCTGGAAATAAAAGCAAAAAATAAGCAACGATGTAAGTAATAATGTAATTAACACCTTAGCTCGGTTGATTTGGAACAAAATTAAATAACGTGCGGTCTGATTTACTGGGGGAGAGAATGTTTCAGTGCGCGTAACGCGAGAAATGATGAATCGGCAATTTGCGGGGATTAGCAATAAATGTGGAATGAACGCGCGACGCAAATTCGTTTCTACGCAATTTCGTGGTCGAATTTGCGGTATCGCGCGTCAAATAATGTTGAAATGCTTGTTTCGGGGCGCGAGTCGCTGTCTTTGTGCCGATAGTTGCTGGATGAGCGCATTGTCGTAGAAACGTTTGTTCAAAAGGTTAATTTGTGAGCTACCACCGGTTCGCGCGACCATCGGATGCATTAGTGTTTCATTCGTAGCGGCGGCGACGCGGCTGGAAACTGAAATTCGTCGGTTAATTTTACGTAGCTGCGTGAAAAACACGAAATTACCGAGCACCGGGCATGAATATCACGGCAATTCTCTGGCTTGAAACGCGACGGACGCTAGATTACGACGCTGGCTGTTTGCTCGTTCCACTAAGGTAATTTAACGCTTCGTCGTAAGTTATGTTCAACGGTAGAAAAGTTGAAAACACATACAGGATCGCATTAATAACTTTCACGTATTTAAGGGAGAATGGGGCAACGACGATCAGTTAAGAAAGATTATTAATATCTTCGCTACAAATTGCTGTTTTATTTTTCAATGCGTCGAAATATACGACGATTTTAAATTGCTTTCAATTTTTCAGCCTCGATGCATTTCTAAAGTTTTTACGTCATCTCGAAAATCTGTTTCTTAAAGGTCTTCAAAATAGCTGTTTGCTACATCCATTAGTTCGTCAAGAATGTGAAAATAAATCGAATTCATGTTTATATTATCAGTCTGTTCTTTAGTTCAGATTATGAAGAGCCAAGTCGATACGTCAGTTTTCCGGAAATCAACGGTTGAAAAATGAATTTCGCGGTCTATTAAATTGATCCTCGGACTAGTAGAATAGGGTGAAAAGGTTTTACAGGGAACACAACAGTCGTCTATCTATGTACTCCATTTTTAGACAGCGGATGAACATTATGTAATGAAAAGAGATGTGAATTGTTAAAAAATGGAGCTCTTTTCGAGGCATTCTTTTCCCCATCTATTTCGTAAAGAATTTACTTTTCTTGACTCGTGAATAAGTACATGTACGGTTCTACTAAAAAAAGAGACGATTGCATGTTGCAGGTGCTTCGTTGCACTTGCAGAAAAAGTGGGGTCATAGGAAGTTAAACCTTCTTAAACCATTCAACTGTTTCCTCTAGCGTTTCTTTCTGCATGCAACCAAAAAAGAAAGAAATACGAGCCGTTCCAGTTTCTAGAATCACTATATGCCCGGTGAATAAAATCAATTAACCAGCGAATAAAATTGCAGGAATTCTTCCAGGATTTTTCGGAAATTCGCGTTGATGAATTTTTGCACATCGAAACGAGGAAAGTTTGCGGAAGTTGGAGTGAAATGAGAAGTTATGTGATACAGAGTGTTTCGCGACCCGGAGAAAGTAAAATTATGTAGGAAAAAGGTTTCATATCCCGCGACGAAACGTTATTTCCTGCTGGGTGCTGTGTGTACTGGTTAAATTATGGTTGATATCGTTATCGCAAAAAATGTGGATGAAACCGCGCCTTTGACTAGTATAGGTTTTTCGAATTAATGTGTTTCGTAATTCGTTTCTTTTTGTTTTTTTTCCTATACGAATTTCTTGTATGTACGAAGTATGGCAACGGTTTTCAGCCGTTCTGCGTTTAAACCGATTCGAAATGAAAAAAACTGGAACGAACGTAATTTTTATCGCGAGTAATATTCTAGCGCAATATTTTCAAAGCGGTTCAGCAGTTGAATCATTCTGGACTAAGATAAAGTCCTTCCCTTTGAAGCCGAGTTAAATTTTTATACGTTTCTATTAATTCGCGTGTTTTAATAAGAGTTGCAGAGAAAAAGTTATCTCTTTATATCCGGGAAATATGAAAACTTTAACCTGGCCGAAGAGTAATTCGAATCAGTTTGGAAAATATTAATTTATGTTTACGTCAAAGTTCACGCGGTAGCACGATTAAAATGCGTTCCGGAATACTTTTGCGAGTCCGCGCCGATAGAGAAAGGCAATTTTATTTCATCGCCGCGGAATAAAACGTCTCGAATGAGACGCATGAATCATTCGTGGGGCGCATCGAGTAGTACGTGTTACGCGGATACACGATGCTACTCGATTATTTTAAAGACAAAAGGTAAAAAAAGTGCAAGGTAATATATTCCCGTTCGCCGTACGTATCGTACGACGATCAATTTTTCCTCCATATCTCTTCGTGTTTAAATAGAATTTTCTTGATTTATTGTGAAAGCAGGAAATCGTTCAGTTCACGTATGGAGTTTATCTAAGACAATGAGATAGATAGTCCTTCCACTTTATTTCCGCTTTTGGCAAAGAGCTCGTGTGTTCGCTCTCCGGTTTCGTCTCTTCGCTTCTTCCCGGGCTCTCCTTTTGCCTCTCATGCGAAAGCAATGGATCCGTCAGAAAGTCGAAAGATCGCTATCGTTGCTTCCGCGAGCGAGTAAAACATGAAACTGTTTAGGTCAGGCTTCCCTCACTGTACAATTTAACGTTGCTTTGTATCGAATGCGTGGGCGCGCGCGCGCACACGTGGGGCGAGTCAACATCGCATATCACTTTTGTGCAAACTACGCAACCCACCGTATCGTTTTGCCTCGCTGAAAAATGTTTTATTCGTGTACGTTCTGTAGATCCACCTTTTCCTCGAAATACCGAAAACTAGATGTCGAAATATTTTTTACGTTTCTTTCTACGCGCTGTCCGATGCGTACTGAAACTTGCGGTACAAGACTCACGTTTCGTTAAAAGTCAATAAAAATCGAATTTATAATTTGAAATCGTGAAATATATACTTTTCTGACAAATAGTATACAGTAGAATTTCATTTTGGTCAGAACGAGCAACGGGAGTTAAAAATTCTGTCGTTCACGGCGCAGAAAAGAATATAATCAGACCGGGATGAGTCTTATCAAACATTGCGCAGCGTTCTCCTTAGAAAACGTTCCCCGTCTTCGCCGTGGAAACTAGCCACAGTCCCAGTTTCCAGAATTACGCCGTGCATAGAAATATAAACCTGCGGCGAGAAGTTTGGGTCGTTGAAAAATCATTTGCGCGGGAGTCGTCGGGAGTTGGTTAACCGCTCGCGAAGGGCGGTTTATCGAAATTTCGCGGCACCGTGCGCCGCCGGTGGCTCGCCATTTTGTCTCCCGAAGTCGTAGCCAAAGCGAAATTTCGGGATCCGTTGGCACACGTGCGCGCGACGATACACAAAGTTCTCGCGCACCGTCGATGCATAAAGTAAAAAGCGTAGCCGGATGAAAGGAGCGGAGAACTAGCGTGAAACGTGCGTCTGAAGGGTTGGTCGGGCCTGTGTGCGCAGGTTTCGCGAAAGTAGTCGGCACGGATGGAGTGATAGCTTCCCTCTCTTCTTCTGACCTTCCCGTATATCTGTTTCTCTTTTTCTAATTCTCCGTTTCTATTTTGTTCCTCCCTAACGTTTTCCTCTTTGCTCTCCTTTCTCCGTTGTGCTCCATCATGCTATTTCTAACTCTTTGTCTCCCCGGACCCTTCCCTGTCCCCGTCCCGCGCACCGTTGCTCTCGTCAAAGGGATCTCCGCGTCCGCGTTTCGAGGCGGAGGAGCGTCGCGTGTGATTTGAATAAATGGACCGCGGCGTAGGGGTTGGTTGGGGCGGCTGAAGGACTCGGGGGAGACGATCCAACGGCATCGGATCCGGTCAACGTGGACCATTTCGCTGACGGTTAGCGGCATAAGAAGCGGCCAGGACATCACGCCTCCTGCGGATCCATTCTGAGCGAGACGCTATCTCAACGTGACGAATGAGCAGCTTCTCAAGATCGTTTCGTATCCCCGGGAACGAGAAAGCGACGGGGGAACGTGGCATCGGAAATCATCCGCGTGTTCCGTGAAAATTCTCGGATAGAAATTTACGAGGATCCGTGTTCCTGCAAACGCTACTTCCGGGCTGCATTTTTCTCGATCTGCATCTTTTTACATACAATTCGAAACTAGTCATCAATTTACGTGTCATCGACTGATAATATTATAGTCTAACATCTTACGAAATTTGTAAAGAATAATAAGTAGAATTCAATTCTTGGAACATTATACCGATGTTGACGGTAAGATTTTTATTTTAATCAGAGTTAATTGCAACTGTACGCTTCTATTCATGCTATCCCCCCGATAGAAAAATGGCGGTATTTTTGTTTCCGGTCGATACGTGTTTGCTTAAATTTACATCGAGCGCTTAAAATAACAGCCTCCGTTTCAGTGTCAGCTTGCAGGTACTTCAACATTGATATTCATTCGTAAATATTACGGAAATATAAGTGGCATTTACAAATACTTCAGTGGAATAAATAGTATTACAGTTTATCGAAAGAAACATTGAAACACAGAAACAGTTGTTACGAATAATAGTACAGCTTGTAATATCTTGCTGTTAAAATATATTTACGCTTCCAGGTTTAGGTCTTAGATATACAAAATTGCTTTCTAATTAAAAGGTTGTCGAATACGTTTTGAATTCCGCGCTTCTTCGAAAGTCTGGAACCTGGCTGTTGCGCTGGATACGATTATTATTAAAATATAGCCCCTTGATAAGATTATGAACGCACGACCGAACCTGCAATATCTTAGGACAGCACGTAGATGGTTAATACAATGTGTCTTCTACCCTTTCCAGCTAGACCCAACGTCCGAGGGGCACGTATTATGTGAGGTGAAACTTGCAACGAGGGAAACGAAGATGTCCGCCATCAGCGTAGCTGCATGGCTGCTCAGCGCCGTCGCTTTCGCTACGATTAATAACGGTGAGTCGCATCATAAAATGCTTGTTATACGAATGAATAATTACTCGGTGAACTCTGCGCCATTTAGCCGAGAGATTCGCGCGCAACAAACATTTCTTTTCGGTGGGAAATTTCTAGCGGGCAAGCGTAAGGATTTCCTCACGTTGGATTTATGATAGGGTTGCCCGGAACACATTAAGCATTTAAATATTCATATAAATTAATTAAACCTCGTATATCTCTTAAAAACTAGAAGTCTCGCGCGTGGGAGATTTTTGAGAATAAATGGATTTATCAAAGTTAAACAAATTGGATAACAAAAGTACGAAAGTCTGATCATGAGTTTGAAATTTATTTTTATTACCTATTTTGCTGGCATGGGTGCGTTAACTGGTAAAAATAAATTTTCACGTTTGTGCGGCGTTCGAAAAAGCTGCCTCGTCGGTGCTATATAGATTTAGTAACAAATAATTTCTACGATAAAACGTGAAGTTATTTAACGATCGCTATATTTCATTTCGTTAGCTTTATTGCATTGCTTGTTTCTTTGGTCATTATACTTTCATTTCTTTTGCCACTTATTCGAGAACGTTGGCGGTGGATTTTAATTGGAAACGGATATGCACGCGATATGGTTTACAGCGATATTTCAAATCATAATTAGACGACGTGATCGCCGGGGTAGAAGCGAAAGTAACGGTTGTTTTATCAAAGCTCGATAAAACGCGCATAATACGGGAGATTGTGTAATAGAATTCTTTGATCACGGTATTTATTTCATTAATACGTTTTTATTACTGTACGCCTTCGCCACGAAATAGCTAAAAAGTTTAGCGCGTTTCGGTTTTAAGCATAATTAAAATAACGGCAAAGGTGCTGGTCGGCATGTCTGCCAGCTTCTCGTAGTGTTCAAAGTTTCCCTTTGCTTTAAAGTCATTCACATTCAGCTTAGAATTCAAGAATGGCTCTTTCAAGTCGTTAACGAACTTTCAAGTTCTTTTCCCTTTCTTCCGTCCGTTTCGGTAAAGCTGAGCGTAAGAACGCTGACATTTCGAATGCAAGGAAGCAATTAGCGTTAACACTGTTACTGTTGCGAAGTGATTCTCAGTCGGATGAACTTTCGCTCGCGAACCACGGCTAATAAAAAGTGTCGAATTTCCCGATATCTTCGCGATACATGTTGCTAGACCCGAATTTCAACGCAAAGCACATAATTAGTAATTCTTTCGATAGTTGTAGTCTTGATATCAAAGAGACAAAATTACAAAAATTCAGTTTATGAATTACTTTTCTATTTCTCAATAATCACTATTACTGTGCTTTCAGGAATAGTATTGCTCGAAATTGCCGAATGACATTTTCGTTAAACATTCCGGTTGGCGAAAATGGATGTCGAATTTAATTTTCACGGTATCGTATAGCTACTAAATCCCGATTATAACGGAAAATTATATGCTCTTCTCCTTAACCCTTATTATCTTTGTTCTTGTCAAAGAACGACGAAGAAGTTAAATCTACAATTCAAATCTTCGGGCTTGACCCAGAACAAACGAAGGTCTTTTTTCTTTGGGATCGAGGCCGGTTAATCCGTTTCGCGATTCCAGGCCAGGCTGAATAATTTTCTTGATGAACGGTGTATTTTTGGGGCTCTGATCTCCGTGGAAAATAATTGGACCGTTTTGTGCAGTAATTTCGTGTGCTCGCATATGAAATTTGATGTTCGTTGGGGCTCGAACGCGAGGGGCTGCGATACACAATGATCCCCGAATCCGAGTGCATTCGTTTGTTTGAGGATAGGTCGTCTGCACGCGTTCGAGTGCGATCCTTTCATCCCCCAGGAGGGTAAGAATGTAAATATGACGTAGCAAGGTAGGCAGAACATGTTCGAAATTTATCGAGCGTACCGCAGAACCGTAAAATTATGTATCATTGTGCAACGAAACCCTTCGTAGTTAATTAATTTTACTAATTTTCGTAATGAAATTTTCCACTTTGCTGTTTAACAATGATGGTGGATGATACAACTGCATTTTATAATTAATTACAACCTGGATATCATGTTTCTCATTTCTATGTAGTACGATGGTGCCTGGTTTTCTGCCTTTTGAGTAGAGAAATAGTTACACCCAATTAGATCCATTATTAGAATTCTGAAACATCATTATAATAGAATAATAGATGATGTATAATGTCACTGCGTAGCAATCGATTCACAACTTTTATTCCATTGAACATTGATTTCGATAATATTATACTTGTTAAACATGAAATGTAATTTTATTTTGTATTTCAATTTAATAATTTTTTTCAAAAAATATTAAATCAAAAGTTATTTGTTTTTCACTCGTTACGCGAAATTTTCATCTGGGAGAAGAATTTTGCTGTAGAATGCACCCTTTAATTAATGGACGGCAGCCATAAAAGAAAATGTGGTTAACACGTTCTCCTGTTCATAATACGTACATTACGTAACTCAGATTTTTTAGAATAAATACTACTTTTTGGCAAAGTAAGCAATCAAATTTAGTATGTTAACAATGTAGCAAAGCCAAACAAATCTAAACCAAATACATGCAATTTGCAAAATGTTATTTTAAAATCTCAACCGGATTTTATGAAAGAAAATGTATAAGGAAGATAAAAATTCATTATTAATATAGTATATTTACTTTTAAAGTTGTACAATTCTGAAAATGAAGAGAACCGTGAAATAATCAATTGGTCCATCATCGTTTTTTCAGTTTGCTTCAGTTGTACGTACATTCTCGAAATATTATAGATCTAATATAAACAAAAAAGGGACAAGAATAGTAAGAAAATGAAATTGTAGGAAATATTACTGTTTACAACAAATTGAGAAAATCCTACCAGACAGGTTCATCATTTGCGAAAAATATCGTGCACGAATTCGTGCAAAATGTCGGAAAATACGAGTTGGAAAAAGGGAGTAACCCCAAAAAACTGCGTGGGCGGCGAACGTGTTGACCTCTATTCGTATCAATTTTTCTGCCGATTCGACCGAGCCCGCGCTTACCATTACAATCATCCGGCGACAAAGAGCCGTGCTCGAAAAAGAAAATATTGGACACCGATAATCGAAAAATAGATATAAGGATACGAAACGAACGCGCGGCGGACCCGAATCACCTCAGGCCAAGCGTGCCTTTGCACGCTTCTCATTAAATTTCGCCCGCGCGGTTCCCGCATGCAGGATCGAAATACGCGTCGATCGAGGAAGACAAACCGATACCCACTAATTGATGAGAAGAGATATAAATTTCTTGCTCGAGTATCCGGTCACTCGTCGGACGGTTCTTACCGTTTTAATGGGACTGCGGGCACGTTGAAATTGTACATCGAGGTCCGCGACCAACCCGTTTCTTTTTCCTCCCTGTTCTTCATCGAAACGTGTCTCGCTCGTCGAACACGGACAGTGGCACGGGCATTTTCGAACAGCCCCTTCGCCTCCTTCCACGCTCGCGACTTAGACGGCCTTGTTAGATCGAAATCATTAAAACGAGAATGCTCGAGGTGGCCGCGATTGTGTAGGTGGCTGAGCACGGTCGCGTGCACAAGCCCGCCGAGGAAACACGTAGATGCGACTCGTTGGCTTTCGTCTCGAGCTGCGGGCAATAAACACTCTTTTTCCCCCGGGGCAAACAATGCAGTGACACGGGGCGAAAAATTAACGAGGCGCGGGCCAAATTCAAACTCATCTCCATCCTTCTGTTCCCTCTTGGCTCTCTTTTCCCCGTGCGTCACCGTTTCGGCCCCTCGTCGTATTACCTCTCTCTCTGTGGAAGTGCAGTCCGCGATTCGAATCGTCATCGGGACGTATGCATCGAAATATACAGCCACGGGTTGACGTGTTCCATTCACGGTGCAATATCGTGCGGATCTCTCTACGTGCGCGCTCGCGCGCGCTCTCGCCTGTGTGTGGGCGTATATCGAGTCCGGAGAATCCACGATAGATGCGGGGGATACGTCCGATCGGTCATTACGAGCAATTCCAGCGGGCAGGTAAAGCCTGTTGACCAAGCAGGGACTCGTAATTACATCACCAATTTGCCGAACGTTCGTTGACGAAGCGACTGTTGGACGTGACGTTAAAGACGAGATAGCGAGAGTTAAGCGCGGATTACGGTCGCTCTCGGGTATCTGGTAATAATGCAACCAGCGCGTGTACTTGGGTTTGTATTATTTTCGCATTAATTGATGGCCGCTGGCTGTTCGCCGTCCTCCGGCCGATCTGCGTCGCGTATCTCCACGGGATTATCGGCGAAACAATTAGTCCGGCGATGCTCGTTGTTGAATATAAATATAATTTTATAGTCGCCGCGTCGTGCTTTTCGAATACGTAAACTAAAACAAAATATAGTATATATATGTACATTGCCGTAGGAACGTTGTGTTATCTCAACAGATTTCCTATCAGTTCGGATAATTGGTATTCCGATACAAGAGGCTCTATCGTAACGATGTAGATATTTACGGCGATTTCAGTGAATATTCGATTCGGTAATGGCCTTCGTTGTCCCGTGTTCGCAACTTTTAATTAACCTTTCGATGAAAATCCTCTGAAAAATTACGTCGATGGATGTTTTTGGCTCGCGAGACCCAGACACGGTTTAAGGGGCCCTTCTACCTTGTGGGATTTAAAAAATCGAATTTTTTTTGCGTTTTCTTTTAGCATGTAGTCTCGAAAATATACCTACCAAATATTAAATTGAAATTTGAAAAACTAACGAAGTTATAGCCTGCTGAAATGTACCGCGCGCAGGTAAACAACTGGGCGTGCATATCTCAGAAATCCTACGCACTTTCGAGAAAAAAATTCGAGTACGCGAACAAATTTTTTTAATAACGTTTAATAATAATTTTGTTAATAACTTTTTAACGAAGCCTCAATCAACAAATTGGTATTCTTGATTTTCGTCATATTTTGGCCTCTGGAGTCGCTCATTAAAATTTTTTCCAAGAGTGGCTGATCATCCTGTATGTAAATTTGATGTATTTTTAAC